GATATCTCGCTCTTTCCGTTACAAAGCTATCCCCGATGTTACTCGAAGTCTATCTCCCCTTGCTTCGATTGATACCAACCTCGATTTCGAAAGAGACTTCGATCTCGAACTCGATGCCTTAACCCTTCGATGCAACGTCCTTGTTTCGATCAAATAGTGAAATCGGGTAGCCCCGATTTCTACCGTATACAGTTCCATCAACAGATTTGGATAAACACATCTGGCCCTTAGTTAACCATAAACATCTCTTTTTCCTTATGATTTTTTCCCCAGTAGATTAGGATCTTAGATGCACTTGGCAGAAAAACATCGTGTGGATACTGTGAATGGAAGGATAATGAATTTCCACCAAGAGCTATTGTTGTCATCAACAAATTGAAAATGGAAATAAATTGCTCTTATTAGTGAAGTCAATCTTTTAAAGGAAAAGTGAACACTCTTCAGTTTGAAAGCATAAATTTAAAGGAATTAGTAGCTAAGTTTGAGGCTTCTTCTTATATTAATAAAAATAATGGTGGAAGACTTGGAAATACGAGGGAAAATATATTTCTTTTGTTATTGGGTTTATCCTTGTTAGGTTTGTGGTTAGTTATATGTTATGAGGGAAGACTTGGAATGAAGGATGTAATTGCATTTGATTGTTTTAGTTGTATACTTAATTTGGATGCACTGTAATATGTAATTGCAAATGTTTTTGATAGGTTTGGGATGCAATGACATTTTGTGCCATATTGATGGAATGAATTAAATGCAATGTCATTATATATGTAATTCAATTTACACATAATGCTTTGATTCAGTTTAAAATACAGTGCCAAAAAATAGTGGTTGGCTACAAAGTGTGATGCCAACAAAAAAATCATTGCACAAAAACTGTTGGTGGAATAATATGCAGTTCAAGAACTTTACTAGGCCAAATATGCCCCTAGATTATGCGAAGTGGTGGGTGTTCCGTTAAACTAAGGGCACGAATGAATCAGGTATTTGACGGCAGGGATATATTTGTGTCAAAGTATTAACGGCAAATCCGTTAAATTTCACATATTTCAGGTGCATATTTGGATATTTTCCATTAAAAAAATCACCATTTGATTAATTTATACTCCATATTTGAAACTTTGAGTTAGTTTAATTACAGACATTATATAATAGATCGCTAAAACAAGATCATATATAACTAAGTAGATGAGCGACTGTTATGTCCGAAAAAATCAGGTGTCTTGCGGAAGCTAGCAAAGCAATACTTGAACGACGATAAGTCCGACAACAAAAGAGAAATATACCAAAAGAGACACAAACATTTAACGTGGTTCGGTCAATTGACCTACGTCCACGACGGAGATGAGTAATCCACTATAATAAAAGAGAGTACAAAATATCGAGAGAACAACCTCACGAAGAGGCAAACACAAGTGACACACTAACACTTGTCCCGTAAAGTTCTCCCCCTAAATACGACTCTCAACCCCATATGGCTACATTGTGGATGCTACTGAATGAGAAGGACGGTTCTTCAATTTATAAAACTCCAAACCTTTTCCTACAAAAAAAGGGACAAGCCAAATATGGAAGAATTATATTTTCCTTCTATGAAAAGAAAAAACCCAATTATGGTAAATATGTTGTCCTTTCCTTCATGAGATAAGAAAAATAATTATGGTATGAAAATCTGGACAAACACCTAACAATTCTCCCCTCTTGGCCTGATTTTTCTGACAAAATAAACTTGATCCACCTTCTTCGCATAGCCTTCAACAGGGTCGCATCTCCAAATCTCCACCACAAAGTTTGTCTCAACGTGAGTAGCATACCAGTCAAATTTCTCAAACAAAAATCACGATTATCGTCAAATATGTTGCGGCTAGAACTAAACCCACCAAGATGAACCTGTCTTGAACATCGCTCTAATACCACTTGTTAGGATCCAAAAAGGCAGGTGTCATGCGGAAGCTAGCAAAACAAACCTAGAAAGACGATAAATCATACAACAAAAAAGAAATCTACCAGAAGAGACACAAGCATATAAAGTGGTTCGGTCAATTGACCTACATCCACAAATGGAGATGAGTAATCCACTATGATAAATTGAGTATAAGATATCGAGAGAACAACCTCACGAAGAGGCAAACACAAGTGACACACTAACACTTGTCCCGCAATGTTCTCCCCGTAAACAAGACTCTCAAGCCCCCTATGGCTACATTGTGGATTCTGCTGAATGAGAAGGACGGAACTTCAATTTATAAAATTCCAAACCTTTTCCTACAAGAAAAAGGACTAGCCAAATATGGAAGAATTATATTTTCCTTCTAGGAAAAGAAAAACCCAGTTATGGTAAATATGTTGTCCTTTCCTTCATGAGATAGGAAAATCAATTATGGTAAGAAAATCTGGACAAACACCTAACAATTCTCCCCCTTGGCCTGAATTTTCTGACAAAATAAACTTGATCCACACCTTCTTCACATAGCCTTCAACATGTTGCATCTCCAAATCTCCACCACAAAGTTTGTCTAAACGTGCATAGCACTCTGGTCAAATTTCTCATACAAAAATCATGATTACCGTCAAATAGGTTGCGGCTAAAACTAAACCCGCCAAGATGAACCTGTCTTGAACCTTGCTCTGATACCACTTGTTACGTCCGAAAAATCAGGTGTCTTGCGGAAGCTAGCAAAGCAATACTTGAACGATGATAAGTCCGACAACAAAAGAGAAATATACCAAAAGAGACACAAACATTTAACGTGGTTCGGTCAATTGACCTACATCCACGACGGAGGTGAGCAATCCACTAAAATAAAAGAGAGTACAAAATATCGAGGGAACAACCTCACAAGAGGCAAACACAAGTAACACACTAACACTTGTCCTGTAAAGTTCTCCCCCTAAACACGATTCTCAATCCCATATGGCTACATTGTGGATGCTACTGAATGAGAAGGACGGATCTACAATTTATAAAATTTCAAACCTTTTCCTACAAGAAAAGGGACTAGCCAAATATGGAAGAATTATATTTTCCTTCTAGGAAAAAAATCCAATTATGGTAAATATGTTGTCCTTTCCTTCATGAGATAGGAAAAATAATTATGATAAGAAAATTTGGACAAACACCTAGCAGCTACCTCATGCTTTCTGGGCCAGAAATTCAAAGGGATTTCTCAAATTTATATTTATATTTAAAAGAAAACATCACGATATTGTAAACTTCGTTCCTCATGTGGGAATTCTCAGATTTGAAAAAGAAAAAAGTAAGAGATATAAAGCAAGTAGAATGGCAGGTAGAATCCTCTTCATACCAAAATCGATACTGCCTTTTTTAACTTTGAGAAATCAAATCCAGTCACCGTATAAGGACACAAAAAAAATGACTGTTAGATTATGTATTTTTCTCAAATCTGGGGCTATGCTTATGATAATTTATTTGCAGAGGAGGACCACTACAAAAATTTCAGCCATAGTAGTGTTGTAGCTATCAACTGATAATGACTTTCCAATTTTAAAAATCTGGGGCTATCATGATTTGATCAGCAGTTAATGTATGTGTTGTAAACTGCAATTTCTGCAGTATATAGAGTTTAACTTATACTCATATGTAAAGAACAAATTACCTAAAAGATAATTACAAATAATTATTCACAAATAACGAGATAGTAAGATGAAAATAAAGATACATTATCTATGACAACAAACAATATAAAAAATCTTTTCAACATCAATTTGTGTGTGTATTATTTGTCATTGAATGGTCTTTAAAGCTTTTGCTCTACTGTAGTTGTATGACACTCACGACTCATAGAACAAATAATGTACAGTTGTCTATTGTACCATTGGATAGTAACTATTTAGTCTTCACAAATTAAATTACCCAACCAACGACTATTAATTTTGATTTCAGCTATGCACTAATAGCGGGATGCTGTGGCAGCGATCTTCATTTATTACACTACAAATTTAATAAAAATTTATACTTTGACCTTTGATGAAGCTATATTTGAAGTTGTTATGGAGAAAAGGAGAAAGGAAACCATTTGTTTAAATTGGGCAGTCCGATGCACTAAGTTTCCTTATGCACGGATTCGGGTAGTGACGGAACCAGGATTTTGATTAAGGGGAGTCAAAATATAAAGAAATAAACTCACTAAGAATTCAAGAGGTGTCATTATATAGTATGTACACATTTTTTTTTAAATTACCAAGCTAAACAGTATAATTTTCCGACGGAGTGTTGGTTGACACCCCTTGGATGCATGTGGCTGCGTCACTGGGTTCTGAAAAGGGCCGAACCACGAGGATCTATTGTACGCAGCCTTACCCTTCACTTTAGGAGAGGCCGTTTCCATAGTTATCCAACATCTAAGACGTAAAGTATGGAACAAAAGTTACATAGTTCCACGAGCCAAACTCCGCCAGTCCATTTTACCTTTTAAAACATTGGCTTGTAAACCATGTAGTATTAGAATTTTTGCAACTAAGGAAAAGTGAAACGTTCCATATTTTTCACAAAAAAAAAAAAAAAAAATGGGTTTCTTGTACAATCTTTCCCAGTAACATTTGTTGCTTATAAGAGTATAAAAAGGGCAGCTCGGTGCACTAAGCTCTCGCTATACGTGGGGTTCGGAGATACACCGGACCACGAAAATCTATTGTATGCAGTCTTATCATGCATTTCTACGAGAAGTTGTTTTTGCTTATAAGAATATATGAAACTTTATTAATTTGAACCCTCAACTTCATATAATAAATCAAATAAAGTGGAATAAGATGCAATAGCATGTCATATCAATGTGTTATAGTAAAAAAGTTTCAAGGTGATATGAATGTCTTGAAATTTAATGCACTTTCTAACTACACCAACAACAAGACATAACAACTACACTACGAAAAGAGAAAAAGAAAAACAGAGTCAACAATAACTTTATGAAGTTAAAAAGAACTACTCCACTAATATAGATATATTTCCAAATTTTTTTCCCTTCTCATTTTCATTGTTCCAATCAAATATGAGAGGATGAAGCAGTACTGCTATCAACATTTTGCTGAATAATCTCAGCTTCTTCTAATAACAAGGACAAACAAGCACTAGTACTAGTAGTAGATGAAATAGAAGAACAAAATGACAATGGAGATGTGAAAGAATGGCTAGTAATTGTTGAAGATAAACAATTTTCCTCAACAATAGTGGCCATTATTGCACACGAAGAAGAAGAAGAAGAAGAACCACTATTAATATTCTCACTAGTAAAAGAAAGACTAACCAATAAGTCAACAAAAGCACCAACAATATAACCATGGTTACTTTTGCAATTAACCTTCAAATAACAAGTCAAAAGCTCTTCAAGATTCTCCCAATCTTGAATCCCATAAGCTTCCACCATTTCCTCCATTGATTTTCTAAAATCCACAAAAGGATCCTTTGAATCCAATGCCATTAGTACAGTACTCTCCTTGAATAGTGGAGTAATATTATTACCTTCTTCTTCTTCTTCTTCATCATTAATATTCTTGTTGGTTTCTTCAAGTATAATAGAACTTGTCTTTTCTGGCTCAAAAAATAGTCTCTCTTTCTCTAATCTCAGCCCTCTGATTACTGTCTCTATGTAATCATGGTGACCAATAGAGAGCTCTGAAGCATCAATAGTAGTATTAGAAAAGCTTCGTTCAGATTCACTGAAGAACTCATGATCTTCAAGACTATAACTAGTCATGTCATCAAGCTGATAAGTAGAGTTTAGGGTCTTGAAAATGTTTTCTTCTGCTCTAAAAGATAGGGTTTTAGGTTTGCCACAAGCTGGCAGTGGCCATGGCCATGGAGAATAAGATGAACTACTTTCTGATGAGGTCTTGAAGAGAGAAGAGAGCTTCATTTTTGTCTTTCTTTTGTTCAATGAGAGAGGAGAACCAACTCTTGAAATTTGAATAGGTGGTTTAATTTTGATGGTATAAATTTATGAGGCCTTTTTCTTTTTCCTTTTTTTTGTTTTTGGGTTTTGGGTTTTGGTTGTTTCTTCTTCTAGCTATATTGGTTGTGAATCTGAATATGAAAGTGAGTTCTTTATTCCGTTTTATTTTATGTGACGGTATTTGATTGGATGTAAATTTAAAAAAAAAAAAAAGATAAAAATATTTCAAAATTTATATCTAAAACAAGCCATCAAACATTATCAACTTTGGATATAATGGAAAGTTAAAATTTAAGTATTTTTATATATAAAAAGTTATCATTTTTTTTTAAACTCACGATAAAAAAAAGTGTCACATAAATTTGTAAAAACTACTACTATTACTTTGTTATTGTGGGAGGCAATTAATGCTAGGCAGAGTTTGTCGTTCAAAACATATGATTCTAAAGGAGTGGTAATTAAAAGAAGTTGACTGGTGGGGTATTCTATATTTATATATTACATATACACGTTATATTTTATAAGTAACTGAATTAAATACACGTTCAGTAGGATCAGAAGGTCCCATGTAGTAACGTATTAAAAAAATTAATATAGTGGTACTGCTATTAAATGGAGTATCAGATTCAGAGTTTTAATTGCAGTTTACATAAAAGGAATTCAAACAAGTTGGTTACCTTAGTATTTTATAAAGAGAAAATATCAGTTATGTCCATTTATAAGTAGTTTATTACAAAAATTAGTTAAGTTATAAAATATTACTAATATTATCCAAATAGCTATTCGTAGCCACAAAAAGTCAAATTTTTGTTTTCTTTTGAGTGAGTGTTATTAGACTAGATTGGGTACATCTTGACAATCTTGAATCTCAATTTTGGAATGATTTGGTTGAGTTTTGAGGTGGTTTGAATTGAAAATTCGAAGTAAAGGATGAACTTTAAAAAGATAATAGGTGTATCACACATGTATCATATTTGTATCACATGTATATCCATATATACATACGTGATACATGTTTGATACATGTGTTGCAGAATAATTTTTTGAACTCGATTTTAACTACGAATTTTGATATCAAATCAGTCGTAATCACCTCCAATCTTTCCGAAATTTTGTATATTGACTCATCTATATATTTTAAATGAATCTCAACCATACCCACTGAAAAAAGTCCTTTTTTTGCTTAAATTTTTGGAATATTGTATATACATATATTTTTTTTGTATTTCGTCACCTTATTTGTTACTTCATCCATGAAATTTCCTTTTCGTCTTTGATGTGTGGCTATAATTTCAGAGTTTCGTACATTATTTGCCTTGCATTTTATATACTTTAATGATAAATTATACTTTATTTGCGTATAATGGAGTCTATTTTATGTGTAGATGAACTGAAGATGAAAGTAGAGCAAAGGAATACTTAAACGTTGAAAGCGTGCTCGAGAACAGTGAAAAGGAGAAAGCTGGCGATGCCAAGCCTTAAGCAGGCTTTATACCTATCGAGGCCAGGCAAAGTCCAGCTTAACCAGGAGTTAGACCTGGCGAGGCCAGGCAAAGGCCAGCTCCACCAGGCGTTATGCCTGGCGACGCCAGGCCTGGGGCGAGATCCATTCCTAGTTTTGAAGATTTATTTTGTCTCTTGGTTTGACTAGGACTTGACCTACACGTTTAGGTCTTTTCCTACACATATAAATAGACCTAAAAACTCCACTTTGAGGGGAGACAGACCGAGATTGGACAGAGTGACAGACCGAGATTGGACAGTGAGAGACCGACATTAGACCGGGGATTCGACCTAAAGAGGCAAGAATACACTAGGAGCAAGGCGGAGAATTCTTCTACGAGTTTCTCACTTCCTTCTTCATATATTTATTAATGGTTATGAATTCTAGTATTGTAGTTTTGCATACTATTATGAATAGCTAATTTGTTATCTAGCGTTTTTATGGAACCTATTGGAGGATGATTTTCCTGTTACGTTAATATAGTTTTGCCGTAATATTTTCTCTATTTATTCAACTACGTTATTATTGTGGTTGGTTGAAGAGCTCTCAATCGACTGTGCCTATTTAGTGTGTATTACTCGGGAGAGAGTGTATTTAGGTCGAACAACATCACCTAACGTATATAAATGATCAATACGGAGGGTTTAAAGGTGGATTAGGGAAAACGAAATCTTAGTGTGATCCGAGTGATCCTTACTCAATGCCAGCTAGCGTAATTCGGGAGAATATATCTAGTAAATTGTTGTAGTTACTCGGGAGAAAATTACAACACTTAGAGCTTTCATGATCGGTAGAGAAAACTTAGGCAAATATATATAAAACGTAGCGGAAAGGATTCCGACAATAGGGGAAATCATAACTCTAGACCTCCATAATCTTGTCTCCAATCCTTATCCTTGTTAATTGATATTTTTAATGCTTTCTAGTATTTGTTAGTTAATTAGATAAAAATAAATATTATAATCCTTATAATTAGGAAATTGTTTGGACTTGTATTTCTTAGCGATATTGAACAACTGTAGCTAAGCCGTAGTTCTTTGTGGGATTCGACTCTGGACTTGTAAACCAGATTATATTTGCAACGACCGCTTAGTTCTTTTTATAAGGCATAGTTGGGCGTGATCAAATTTTGGCGCCGTTGTCGGGGATTGATGTGTGGCTATAATTCCATAGTTTCGTACATTATTTGCCTTGCATTTTATAAGCTTTAATGATAAATTACACTTTATTTGCGCGTAATGGAGTCTATTTTATGTGTAGGTGAATTAAAGATGAAAGTAGAGCAAAAGGGATACATAAACGTTGAAAGCGTGCTCGAGAACAGTGAAACAGAGAAAGCTAGCGACGCCAAGCCTTAAGCAGGCTTTATACCTGGCGAGGCCAGGCAAAGGCCAGCTTAACCAGGCATTAGCCTGGCGAGGCTAGGAAAAGGCCAGCTTAACCAGGCGTTAGACCTGGCGAGGCCAGGCAAAGGCCAACTCCGCAGGCGTTATGCCTCGCGATGCCAGGCTTGGGGCGAGATCCATTCCGAGTTTTGAAGATTTATTTCGTCTCCTCATTTGACTAGGACTTGACCTACACGTTTATGTCTTTTCGTAAACATATAAATAGACCTAAAAATGCCACTTTGAGGGGAGACAGACCGAGATTGGACAGAGAGACAGACCGAGATTGGACAGCGAGAGACCGACATTAGACCGGGGATTCGACCTAAGGAGGCAAGAACATACTAGGAGCAAGGCGGAGAATTCTTCTAGGAGTTTCTCACTTCCTTCTTCTTATATTCATTATTGGTTATGAATTCTATTATTGTAGTTTTGCATACTATTATGAATAGCTAATTTGTTATCTAGGGTTTTGATGGAAACTATTGGAGGATGATTTTCCTGTTACGTTAATATAGTTTTGCCGTAGTATTTTCTCTATTTGTTCAACTACGTTATTATTGTGGTTGGTTGAAGAGCTCTCAATCGACTATGCCTATTTAGTGTGTATTACTCAGGAGAGAGTAAATATTTATGTAGTTGTTGAACAACATCACTCCTAACGTATATGAGGGATCAATACAGAGGGTTTAAAGGTGGGATTAGGGATAACGAAACCTTGGTGCGATCCGAGTGAGCCGTACTTAATGCCAGCTAGCGTAATACGGGAGAATATGTCTAGTATGGTAGTTACTCGGGAGAGAATTACAACATTCAGAGCGCTCATGATCGGTAGAGAAAACTTAGGAAAATTTATAGAAAACGAAGCGGAAAGGATTCCAACAACAGGGGAAATCATACTTTAGACAAACGTGTATGTCATGTCCTAGTCAAACCAGGAGACGAAATAAATCTTCAAAACTCGAAATGGATCTCGCCCCAGGCCTGACGTCGCCAGGCATAAAGCCTGGTGGAGCTGACCTTTGCCTGGCCTCGCCAGGTCTAATGCCTGGTTAAGCTGGACTTTGCCTGGCCTCACAAGGCTAACGCCTGGTTAAGCTAACCTTTGCCTGGCCTCGCTAGGTATAAAGCCTGCTTAAGGCCTGGCCTCGCCAGCTTTCTCCTTTTCACTATTCTTGAGCACACTTTCAACGTTTAAGTACCCATTTTACTCTACTTTCATCTCTAATTCACCTACACATAAAATAGACTCCATTACACGCAAATAAAGTGTAATTTCTCATTAAAGCATATAAAATACAAGGCAAATAATGTACGAAACTATGGAATTATAGCCACACATCAATACCCCACACTTAAACATTGCTTGTCCTCAAGCAATCAAACTATACTTATAGACACAACGTTGAGCACTTTGTTTTTACACAATTGAGGCACACCACACCAGTGACCATGGTTTATAGCAACAATTAAACTCTAGCATATGCAATCATATACACTTCCCTTTTCTTATGCCATACTTCACGAATATTCACAACAAAGACAACATGCTCCTTACAATCCTAGCCTCAAAAACCAACTCAATGTCACAATGCACTCATGGCTTGAACACCCAACATCACGGAGAGGAGTCTAATAACATTACCTATCCCTCGTGAAACCATGTGCCCTCACCACAAGAATAAGAGAGTAAGTTGAAGCCACATATTCAAATTAAATGCTCAAATATATTTTAAGGACTAATATATATGAAAGAATATCGCTCACTCTCACAAAAGAAGTAACATGCATGCATTTGGTACCATAGGCTTGCCCATAATGTAACTCTCTACTAATGTAAGCTCACTCGATCTAAAATCAATTAGGACTTTTTCAAGGTTGTAATGTGGGCTAAGGAACATGTAAGATATATTTAGGAATAGTGGTTCACCCTCCGAAGCACTTTACACATCACTTTATAATCTTTATGTGCAAATTCCTCAATCCCCTTCAATTTCACAAACAAAATCATCCCTAACAACGTACCCTTCTTCTTTAAGCACTACTTTAATTCATACCCACTAGCCATAACAAGA